CTGCTATTTTTCTTATTTATTCAATTTTCAGTAATAGAAATTAGATCAGTCTTTTCTCATGCAAAGCTTATGATTAGTTGATTACAATGACTGGAAAAGAAATTGGGGTGCCCGTGGTTGTTGGTGAGGTAGAACCATTTTTCAACTGACAGAGCTCAATATCAAGGCAAATCCGTCATGTTTTCAATATGCGCGTGCATGAGCGTGCGCTAATGATGCCATAAATTATGCGCAGCAAGGATGTGTGATGCAAATGTGAGGAATGACCTTAAGTGACTTGTGTCATTAGTCTGGTTGCATTGTCTTGTCACTCAGGTTCTAGATATAGAAGATTGATTAATGTTTATTTCTCTAGATAAAACTTCTGTAGTAGTTGACAACAAGGAAACTACCGTACCTGGTTCAGATGAAGTGTCTCTCTCTAAGAACTTCAAGGAAAACAACCCACCAGATGGTAAAAAAAATATCACTTCATTTATTTGATTATCAACATTATACTGTAACAAAGAAAGGTTGCCAATGATTGTCAAGTCATAGGGTTCCTCTGGTTATCAAAATAAGCGTGCATTGTCTGTTGGTGACACAGCCATCAGATTTAACACTTCCAACTTGATCTGCATGGCACAACTCTGGCCTCAGTGCAAAGTTTGTCAGTTTATGGCTAACCTTTCCTTTTGATACTTAAAGCAGATGTAATTTTGTCTTGAATTCTTATTCCCCACCCACATTTATAATATGTTTCTAGTTTTCTCAACTTTGTTTTTTTAACACCTCCTGGTTTAATTAATACGATCTGTTAACTGTGGTGACCATGTTAAAGAATGTAATCAGCATCTTACTCAAAACATTAATTTCCTTGAATTTTCAGTCTTGATGTCAATAATAATATATTAATTATTAATATTACAAAATGGCCATGTTGGTCTCTAGGAAGAACTTAGTTACCGCTCTTTTATTGATTAAAATATATTGTCAAAATATTTTAAAATTATTGCATACACCTTGTGATTAAGATTAAACCTTAAATTTAACAATCTACATGTATATCCTAAAGATTAGTCTACGTGATAGTTGCTGCATTTTGTTTCAGTTACTCAGTTTGATACTGTAACCAATTCCAGTGTTAACTTACACTTGATGTTGTAACTGTATGTTTTTTATTATAATTATTTTATGTGACTGTGAATGGGCCATATTTGAATTCTCAGTATTGGAATGGAACTAGCTTGCAATGGATGCTCATGCAGGGAATATCATTAAAAAGAGATTAATGTCATTTACATTTAAAAAAGATTCCCTGCATTTGCCTCAGTTACAAGCTAGTTCCACTCCTACACCAAGAATACATCTTCCTCACAGGAAGATAGGAACTCAATTAATTGACCTCGCTCCCAATGTGTGGCTTCATAGCTCAGTTGGTAGAGCATCGCACCGGTATCGCGGAGGTCACGGGTTTGA